CAATAGAAGATGAGCTGGGGTGAAAAAACGTCTGGCACGAAATAGAAATTCAAACTTGCGCGCAGCACGTGAAGCAAGCTTAGCTATAAAAGGGAACCAGCATAAAGAAGAAGTTATAGGCAATCCAAGAAGGGAGATCGAATCTGTGGAAACACAGTTGGGTGGAATCAAGAGATAAATCGGGGGAGAACGAATGATGTTTTGAAGAAATTGAAAGAAGTTTTAGAACTATTGAACGAAACGTGGTATGCAATGCCCCAGGATGAGATGTGTTCGAGATCGGAGTTCAGTGACACATTAACTGCACTACGGTCGCCATCGATGTTGGTTTTGGCATGGCGAGCAGTGCGGTAGGAGAGAGAGCAGTGGAGGATGGCGTCATCCGCAAAAGAATGGATCGGGTTGGCAGTTTGGGAAAGGAGATCATTGATAAATAGAAGGAAGAAGGTGGGCACAAGTACTCAACCTTGGAGAACAGCAGCGTTTACAGGGAATGGTTGAGACAGAACCCCATCAACTCGGACGGAGATGGTTCGCTTACTGAGGAAACTTGATATCCACGCTACGAGCGCTGGAGGGAACCCGAACATGGGTAGTTTCGCCAGTAGACCTTCGTGCCAAACTCGGTCGAAGGCCTTTGAGATGTCAAGCGAGACCAAGTGTGTTTCCCCGTGGTTATCGAGTGGAGCTGACCAGGATTGTGAGACAAGAGCCAGAAGGTCACCGGTGGAACGATGCGGTTGAACGCCATACTGGCGGTCGCTCAGTATTCCTTCGCGTTCAAGGAACGTGCGTAGCTGATAAGAAATGATAGATTCAAATACTTTCGAAAGAACAGACGAGAGGAAAATGGGTCGATAGTTGTTGGGGTTAGAAAGATTGCCGCGTTTGGGAATGGGAAAAATCACGGCGTGCGTCCAGGGGGTTGGAAAGGAAGAACGTTGAAGGGAAAGACAGAAAAGACGACGTAAAACAGGAGACAGCTCGGGAGCACACATTTTGAAGACGATGGGTGGAATACCGTCCGGACCGGGTGGTTTGTTTGCGTTCAGAGAGGGCAATGTTTGACGAATTTTCCTAGTGCTGATTTGAGATAGAAAAGAAGGAAGAATGTGGAGGTGTAGAAAAGGGAGGTAAAGTGGAATTGGCGGCAAACTGGGAAGCAAAAGCCAGCTTTCTCGTGTGGTTGATATACAAGATCACCAGAGGAATAACGGATAAAAGGGAAGTTAGAAGGGCAGAAATAACGGAAAACTGCTTTGGCAAGGGACCAAAATGGTCGGCTACCGGTGGCGGACGAGACCAAGTTTTTGGCTTCGCGGTGAACGAAGTGTTCTTTGGTTCTCTGAATGGTCGTCGAGCATCTGTTCCTAGCTTGCACGAAGCGATGGTGGGAGAGAGGAGTG